AGACCTTATTTGACATTTTTTGTAAGTTCGAGATCATATCGATCTGACCCTTATCCCTGCAATAAATGATTTAAGCATTTCAAGATAGCATAGAGCACCAAAGTTCAACCACATAAATTGTACTACTTGGAGTACGTTCCAGCAAACTTGGAGATAAAACAACATCATTTTAGGCTTACGTCATTTCTAATTTTAGGTCTTCAGCCACAGTACCCGGTCCCTCATTAAGGAGTGTGGATTTTATTCTTAAAACTGCTTTTGCTCATTCAGAGAAGAACAGAAACAAAAGTTGCAGTATTTGAGTGAAAGTGCAGAAGTGATGCAGAATCAGTTCCAAACACCCTAAATACGGATAAAACGAATTCCGAGATAATCATGCTTGCAGGGACGAATCAAATGGAGGGTTCCGAGTCTTCCGACAGTTATGCCGACGAGTAGCTGATGCACAACGAGGATTGAAGGATCGGATAATGCGGATCGTCCAGAGTTGGGTTCAGGTGCCTACTTAGTACATGAGTTCTGAAGTCCACTTTCTCCATTGGAAAAACTGATAGAATAAACATGGGATGCTTGCGGTCAATATGGGTCTGTTTGCAATAGCTTCTACTTTTAAAAAAGTGCTTTTTTAAATGAAATGAGGAGAAGTGATTAAATAAAAGTTGATAGTGTTTGAGAAAAAAGTGATTTTGAAAAGTAAAAGTGGATAGTGTTTGGTAAAATAAGTGCTTTTTGTGTAATAGAAAAAGTAAAAGCACTTTTGACGCGGAAGCCGAGAAAAATAAAAGTTGTAGTGTTTGAGAAAATAAGTGCTTTTTAAAAGCCAAAAGCTAAGAAGTGCTTTTTTAAAAGCAGTTGCAAACCAACCCTATATAGAGAGAATTATGTAGTAGAGTATTAGGAATAGATGAGAGAAGTTGTAATTCCTAAAACGTACATTTTGGTCTACATGGACCAATCAGAATGATGTAGTTGAATTATTTAAAACTAAATTAAAAATAATATATTGATTTGGACCAATCAAGTGAATGATATGTATGATATCCCATTTTTTAAATGCCTACCGGAATTCTCATGATATGCCAATCATAATGGAGGGCAGGGGCGGCCCTGAGGGGGGGGGGGGCAGGTGGGGCGGTGGCCCTAGGCCCAAAAAAATGAAAAATATTTAGGCCCAGAATTATTTCTTTATAGTATGTTTGAGTAGGCTGATTTTCAGCCCAATATTTTTAATTTTGTGCAGCCCAAAAGCCCAAAAAACACGGAGTAACTAAACTAACGTCGTAACGCGCTAAGTTCAATCCCGTAAACGGAGTTCCGTTACTTCCATAACCCTTCACCCCCACAGCCGTAAACTCACGCAGGCATGCAGTTCACTCTTCGAGGCTTCGACATCGGGAGTAGTTTTATGGAGCCATATGTGAATCTCTTATAGACTCACATAGGCTATTGTGACATCCATCATCCACACCACACATTATTTTATTGGGGTCTTCACTAAAATAATGTGTGGCGGGGATGATGCCACAATAGCATATGTGGCTCCATTAGAGAGTCACATATGGCTCCATAAAATTTTTGTCGGCATTGGTGTCCAGGATTCCAAGTCTCCAACTCTCCAAGCCTTCAACAGGTCTAGTCATTAGGTGCACCTTCTGACCTTCTGAGTTCCGGCCTTCTGCTTCGGCTGTTTGGCCATAAGCCATTACCATTGTTTTACACTTTGCAAAATTATAGTTTTTAACATTTCCTTTATTGATTATGTGATCAATTTTTAACAATTAACATTTTCTTTTATTAATTTATTTGAATAATACAAACATGTGATTATGTGACCAGTTTATTAATTGTTAAATTCATTGAATTCATAGTTGTTTAATGTTTATAAATGATTATGAATAGTTGATTTTTTATTAGTTTAATTATTACATGTTAATCACTTAATTGTTGATTATTACCTATTGATTGTTGGTGTTATAATTTATTCATTTGTTAGGTAAAATTTTCAATTATAATTAAACTATAAACTTAATTAATTTCAAAGTTTAATAAAAATGAGGGAATAAGAATGGGATAAAAAATGAAGAAGAGAAGACTAGTCGATTAGATAATGCTCCCGTAAGTAAAAAAAAGGTTCAATAGAAAAATTTATTTTTATGAAGAAGGCAAATTCTGAAGGTCCTCCTGAGGTAAGAACTTTAAGGAGAAGAATGATTCACCAAGCGAAAACGAAACAGTTCACAATGATCATGTTGTAGGAGGTTAGAATTTAGGAGTTGATAACATTGATAGTGAGCAACCAAAAAATGAATTGGATAGATCAAATGTATCAACTTCAATTGTTGGTCCTTTGATTTTGGATATTTATGACCCTGGTGATTGGAATCTAGATGCCAAAACAAATGATATTGTAATTGAAAAAGGCACTATAAAAGAGACGCAACTCAATTATCCTCTTCATGCTAAGTGTAGACATTTCTCACATGCATACTATACTAGAAACATGAAAAATAAATAAAAATACTCTTCAAATATTATTATTGCATATAATTTAAAAAGAAACAGGTTTTACAATTTTTTTTTTAAATTTAGGTTCATTTTGAATTATTCGCCCCTAAGCCTTCAAATATACAGGGCCGCCCCTGATGAAGGGTCCTACCTACGTACATGATTGATAGAATCACTACGTAGGGAGGGCAGTCAACTTTATGCGGGAGAGGCATGAGTGCAGTTCGACCTTGTGGTGTATTCGTTTGTAATGAGTAGGACCTCTTTCTCGTTGATCAGTTCGCCCCCTTATCTATTTCATAGTTTCTTCTATCTACTGAATTGAAAACTTAGTATTATCGTATCTTTCATCCAATTTGTCATTCTCCATCTCCAAATTACTAGCTCCAAACCGTAGTTACTCCTGCTCTTTAGCCTTGGAATTTCATAGTTGTTGAAAGGGCATAAGAATATGTTAGGGTTCCAGTGTAATCAATGGGGACTTAACGTATGATGTGGACTTAATTTGAACATATTAGTATTATGTTTGTCAGGTCAACTCTATTAACGTCTTAATATGGCCAATGTACTCATTTAACACCAAAATACCAAATGCAATATGAGGTACCCTTTACTCCACATGCTACAACTTGGTATACTGAATTGACATTTTTTTCGAAATAGGATAGTCTGCCCGATAATGAGTAAGACTAATCGCTGAACTTGCGAGAGTTCAAAGCTATTATCGGTCATCATAACCTGCTTACTTTCTATCAATCGAAAAGCTAAATACACAAACAAAATTGTCCATTTCCCCAAAAGAAACCAAAGAACTAAAAACAATGTACCGGGTAGAAAACATAATACTAATGCATATAAAATTAAATAAGGAAAAAATTAGGGGGTTCTTCCCCCCCCCCCCCCTCTCCCATAGTATGCCTGCAGAGTGCTCCATCTTGTGTCAGGCGAGCTATTTCTATGTCATTATTATCCATGTCTTCAGCTCCTCCTTTTATGCGTCGAAGTTTCTGATCTGTTTTGTCTCCTGTGATCTTTGGTCCGCCTGTTATCTTCCAACTGTGTTCCCCATGCTCCTCTTCACGATTAATGTCTATTGACCCTATTTCCTTCTCCTTACTATGTCCTCCCCCAGCTGGAACTGACCATTTGTTGCCTTCACCTCGAGCTTCCCCCCTTCGTAGCTTTGAGCCCAGGTCCAAATAACCCGACACTCCCCTCCAAGCCACCCCTTGGCTTCTGAGGACAAAAAATCCTCACATGCCCAATGATTCCACACAGTAAACAAAAATTGGGCAATGTCTCATATCAAAACGAAAAACAAAAACTAGTAACATCTTCCTTTTGCAAAAATAGTTTCCTTTTAAAGGTTTTTCCTATGTCTAGGCTAACTCGAATTCGCATAAATGAGTTCCAATTTGTATTAAAGTTATGCTCATAAATCCTAATAAAATTTTCATCAAAGTTGCCTATTCTCCAACATTTTTTAGAGTAAAATAACCCACAGGCCTCACATGAACATGTAGCCAAAAACATGCCTTATTCAAAGGAACAAGCAAGGGTAGATCTCCCTCCTCTAGCTTTTTTTAAATGATCGGATAACCTTGGTCAAATAACCATTGTCCTTGAGCCACCCTATTCATGTCACTCTCATGATAGAATTGAAACATAAAATACCTAGTCCCAGGGTCTGTTATGCTAATACTCTTAACATGTTTTCAAATCGACGTTATAGTGTCATAGAAAATTGAGAAACATGCCAATTTATCACATGTGATTGTGTCAATTCAGTGATTCCACCAATAGCACGTCATCTTCTTCTTCCAATTCCATTTTTTTGTAAGCTTGGGCTAAAACCTCTATCTCCTCCTCTTGCTCATTTTCCATCTCTACGTCCTTGCTTACTGTTGCGTGAATGTTTGCTTATCGGTCATTAACAATATTGTTTTAAAAATAATATTTCTAAATATAGTCAAACTAAAGCATAAGAATATTTTAAAATTGAATGTGTTTAGTGTGTTTTAAGAACGGAAGTACTTGGTAGTACTATGATATATATTACTTCATATATACTACTCTCTCCCGAGGTTGGAGACATTATTTCAAGAGTAAATAGTATGAGCAGTGAATAATGTAGAAAAAGAAAAAGAGAGTGCGTAAAAGTATGAAAGAGAAAATAGAAAAATAAGATATTTGAATATTTTATAAAGGGTAAACTTATAAAAAAATGGAATTGTAGGGAAATTTTAAATAGGGAGAGTATAAAAGAAGAATCAAGTGCTACTCTACTTCTCCAACGTGGTTGTTAGGGGCTGAGCTAGGGGATGGCCAACCTTGACCCTGATCCAATCCAATTTTTAAAAATGTCTAAATTTTAGTTTAAAATTTTCCGAGTAATTTTTTTTAAAAAATATTCTTTTTATCTGTCCGGTCACCGGCTTCTGGCTTAGATAATGATGAGTCTGTAGCATGGTTTCGTCATTCAGCTTATTGTTATCCTTTTGTGGAATATAAAGCATGGTATGTCAACTGTCCGCTGCATATACTGATTGCTCCGTATTTCCTTGAATATATTATTACTCCGATCCCATACTTATTCCTCTGTCTCCACGCAACATCCATTTTTCTTCCATCCTCTGCCTTCTCTGATCATTATCCACCGAAGCAACCATTCCCTCAGCTGAGAATAGGAGTGAGTCTTCATTTTGATTTCCAATGGAGAAAGTCAACTTCAGAACCCATGTCCTAACCAGGCACCTCAACCTTGTTGACCCAAGTCTGGACGATTCCCTGATCCTCCAATCCTCGCCCTGCATCAGCTACTCTCCGCCGGAGCTATCGCAACCTGCGGCAGCTTTCGACGAATTCGAGATGCGGAGGCTTATGGACGGACACCACCTGGAGGACCGGGACTGGCTGTATGGCCTCATGGTACAGAGTAAGCTCTTCAACCCGAGATCAAGAGGCGGTAAGGAGTATATTTGTCCCGATTATAACCAGTCTATGGAGCAACAGAGAGATATTACCATGAAGAGAATTGAATACCTCTCTGATTGTGGGTTGTTTCGGGGATGGCTCACTGAGAAAGGACCTGAATCTGAGTTGAGGAAGCTTGCTTTTCTAGATGTAGTAGCGATTTTTGACCACTCTTTGGGTATCAAGATTGGTGTTCACTTTCTTTTGTGGTATGGACCTTTCCTTAAAAGTTTCTCCCTGCAGAAATGTTGAAGAGATTGTCCAAATCAATAAAAAATCAACTTACAAGATTTTGGGTTATTTATTTTATCATGTCAAGCTCTAAGGATGAAATAATTGGTATTGGAACTAACCTTGTTGCGTAACAACTGAGGATTGGGGCTTGTGGGTGCCTGTTAAAATATTGTAGTCTTGACAAGGTGTCAAGCTCTCTGAGAGTGTTAGGAGAGTTTTCCAACATTTACTAAATACTTACGGAGTATAAGATGAGAAATTGTCATTAACAAGATTCTATCGGTTTGACTTGTTAGGATGGAATCACAAATCTTAATAATAATAAATTTTTAATGGAATTTCGGGTTTCAGATTGAACGTGTTTGAGGTGACAAGGTATTGTGAATGGGTAGAGACATGATCATTTTCAGGAGATTAAGAAACTAGGCCCATGTTTTTATTTTAAAAGTGTAAGAAGCACCAGGAGTGTAGATTGTTTCTTTCTGAAGCAATGTCAATCGCAAAAAAAACTTGATATAGTGGGGATGATTCTTAGAGCTAGGAAAGTTCTAACTTTGAACATGGAAAGTTGAAAAAATTCAACCTTTTCATAAATTTAATATAAGGGGAAACAACTGGACAAACAAGAATCTTAGAATGTCTGAAAGGAGTTTTTTGTATGAAGAGAACACATTGAGAGAACATTTTATGTGGCACCATTAGAATTTTATGGAACTGCCTGAGAGACATCATGGATGGAGGAAACGTAATAGTGCCAGATAGTTCGTCCTCTCCATGTATGGGAGAGGACCATCATCCATAGGTGTGCACTGTCAACTTGGCAAGTAAGGCATGTTCCATACCAAATACTTCCCAGTTATATACTTATATTAGAGTATGGGAGTGAATTCCTAATAAGATTGTACCTTTTTTGGAAATTTATTCTTGGACTGATGATGAATGAGTTATTTTGGGATAAATATTGTGGTGATGCCTGAATACATACCATTTTCTTCATACAATCTGGCCTATCTGGTGTACATTGAGTCCACTACACCATTTGAGTGGGTTGAGGCTGATGGGCTACAAATACCATATCAGGCCTCTAGATGTTCACATATCTCCTCAGATATTTTGTTCTTTAACGATTTCAGGGGTGGAGCAATCCAGTTTCTTGGTACAAAGCGCCACCATGACAAGTGGTTGAAGGATACTGAAAATTATGTGGTTAAAGGCTGTTTTTCAATGACCGAGTTAGGACATGGTAGTAATGTATGTGATGTTTGTTAATATATTTCTAGTTTTAGTTATCTGTTACAGATCATAGTCTCTCTTATCTTATTTTTTCTTTCCGTATGACATCTTCCCAGGTTCGAGGTATTGAAACAGTTACAACCTATGACTCAAATACCCAAGAGTTTGTCATTAACACTCCGTGCGAGTCAGCTCAAAAGTATTGGATTGGTGGTGCAGCAAATGTTGCGACTTTTCTTCATCTTCATTATATTTGATCTTTTTGAGGACATTACCTAAATAGGCTAAAACGCCCAAACAGGACCATCATTATTTTTTCTGAAAATATGACTTATTCACTCCTAATAGAAGAAGCTTTAACTACTTTTATTCTTTTATTTTGACTGAATGAGACCTAATTTTAGGACAAAACAAAATACTCCTATTTGGGCACATCACTCATGTTTTACTCCTATTTATAGCAATTTCTTATCATCCCCCCCCCCTAATTATATTGTTCTGACATATATTTTCTTTTGACCATACTGTAGCATGCAACGCATACAGTGATTTTCTCACAACTCATCATTGATGGAAAAAATGAAGGGGTACATGCATTTATAGCTCAGATCAGGGATAAAAGTGGAAATGTATGTCCCAACATTCGTATAGCTGATTGTGGCCACAAGATCGGTTTGAATGGAGTTGACAATGGCCGCGTCTGGTACTAAAGTGAACTTCATATTCACTTGAGCATGTGTATTTTGACAATTATCTGATCTTGAGATTTTTCCAAATTAAACTTACCAGGTTTGACAATGTCCGGGTACCTAGAGAAAACTTGCTGAATTCAGTTGCTGACATGTCCCCAGATGGGAAGTATCTTACTGCAATTAAGGATCCAGACCAGGTAAAGCAACTAGTGAATTCCACAAATAAGACTAAAATATATCAGGTTTCTGCAAATTATTCGATCATAGTCCTTTCATAGAAATGTGCATCCTTTTATCCTAGAAAAAGAATACCCAGTAATTAACTACGAGTATTTTTATTCTTTTTTTTTTGACAGAATGAGTCCTATTTTTAGAATGAGTACGCATAACCCATGTTGTAGTAATTCCATTAAAACCCATCCTGTTTGGTATTTCATCAGGTCTTTGGGAAGTGTAACTACAATTACACTTTGTAATTGTAATTGCTGTTGTTGTCGTTATTAAAACTATATTACTCCGTATTATTTACTACTACTACTACTACTTATTTATTTATTTATTTATTTATTTATTTATTTTTTTATATATTTATTTATTTATAATTTATATTGGGTGGACGTTGAATTTTTCTATGGGATGGGAGAGGCCTCAGAAGCCCTAGAGTATATCGGTATATCCTTTGAGCTTATTATCATGTTGAGCCCTTTTCCGAGTATAAGAGCTCTAAATTAGATTCTCTGTTCAGACAAAGAATTTTAGGATAAATTTAGTAGATAACCATGAAATGTTTTTTTCCCAGAGATTTGGAGCATTCATGGCTCCTTTGACATTTGGACGTGTGACCATCGCTTCGAGTGCTACTTATTCAGCAAAGGTAAACAAGCATAAAGCTTGTATGGTTTAACCGATGTAGGGTCGGCATATTGGTTCGGTCCTAGTTGTAACTTGTTTGGATGAGGATTATTTTGAGCTTAAAACAAGTCGAGATCATCCAAAGAATCAAGATTGGACCCTAAAAGATCAATAAAGTGCAAAGGGACAAGACAAAAAGAAGTTTGAAAAAATAGCTCATATACCTGTTCGGTTTAACCAAACAAACCGAACCATATGCAATATGGTGTAAATTTGGTACCATTTCTTTCAAATCATATTAAACCGAACCGAACTGAAACCGAGAAAAACCAAATAAAACCGAATTGAACTAAAGAAATTCAATTTAACCTTCATATATTATTAACATATCCAAACCAAACCAAAACTGATAAAAACTGAATCAAACACCGATATGCCCACCCCTAACCAGAATTTAGTTGCAACCCATTGGTAACAGCATTTAGTTTCACTCATCAGGTTGCCTTGGCAATTGCCATAAGGTACTCATTAACAAGGAGGGCGTTTTCTATTACACCTAGTGGACCTGAAGTTCTTTTGCTTGATTATCCAAGTCATCAAAGACGGCTTTTGCCTCTTCTCGCAAAGACGTAAGCTTTTTTATATTTTAGCTGGACGGTGCACATGAAGATGCCTCATACATTTTTTTTCTTCATGAGCTGGACCCTGTCTGCATTCCCGAGGTTCTCAGCAGTTTTTAACATTGATAGCGAGCTCTTCAACGTTATTATTTCTTTTTTTTGTTTATGATTTCAGGTATGCCATGAGCTTTGCTGCAAACTCCTTAAAAATGTTGTATGTGAAGAGAACACCTGCAATGAACAAAACTATACATGTTGTGTCCAGTGCATTTAAAGCTACCTTAACCTGGCATAACATGAAAACTCTTCAGGTACTAACTGACATGCTTTAGCAGTTGATTGTTTTTTAGATGTAATCGGGTTTCCATTTTTTTTTTTCAATTTGATTTTTATGAATTGAATCAGGAATGTAGAGAAGCATGTGGAGGCCAAGGGTTGAAGACTGAAAACCGTATTGGTCAGTCAAAAGGGGAATTCGATGTTCAGTCTACCTTTGAGGGTGACAATAGTGTCCTTATGCAGCAGGTAATACTCCGTAATATTTAAGGAAAATATTTCAGCCAATCAAACGGAGCCTTAATGCCTTATGTAAAATTGGAATGTGGAATTTCATTTCTCTCAGACAAAACTGAACTATCAAGTGTGTCAGACAGCTTTTCCAATTACCCTTTATAAAATGCGTTCTCATAAACTTGAAATGTAACGGTTTGTTGTGCTATATTTTAGAGAAGATATGACTAACAGAGATCATCTATGATACCCCCAGGTTAGCAAAGTACTCCTAGCCGAATATGTGGCTGCTAAGAGGGCGAATAAGCCATTCAAAGGGTTGGGATTGGAACACATGAATGAATGTACTCCAGTTATACCTTCACAGCTCTCCAGTGATGCCCTAAGGAGTATCAGTTTCCAGAACAGCATACTCTGCCTTCGTGAGAGAGACCTTTTGAATCGCTTTGCTGCTGAAGTTTCACACAACCAGTCACAAGGACAGAGTAAAGAGCATGCCTTTGCTGTGGTAAGATGTCCTTCTATGTATCTTATAAGAAAGGAGGCCTTTTACTCAAAACAGCCTAAAATAGTTTTTCTCTTACTTTTTTACCTACCAGAGTTATCTGCTTGCCGAAGACTTGGGAAGAGCCTTTGCAGACCATGCAATTTTCCAAACTTTTGTGGAGGCTGAAGCTTCAGTAAAGTCCATTCCCCTTAAGGTAAGAACCTCACATTGTTTTAGAAGTTCCCGTATAGTATGTGAGCTTTTGAACCAAAACCGACCGCAAACTACCCAAATCGAACTATAATAATCAAACAGAACAAAGTATAGTAATATAGTTGGTTCTGTTTGCTGTTTTTGCTTTAAAAACTTACCAAACAGACTAAAACCTAAAAAACTTATTCAAACATGTCAAAACTTACCGAAACTGCCATGGACTAACGAATATACCAAACCACTTTGGTCTTATCGTTTTTTGCATTTTTCAATTGTACCAATAAATAAGCGAATCAACTGAGCGGAATCTTACAAAAGTGACGGGCACCCCATAATCCCAACTAGTTGGACTCAGTGACATGAAGTTTATAGTGTTAGTTTAATGTGTATACACTACGTAGCACCATAGTTTCATGCAAAAAAACAATAAAAAAACAGTACAATAATAAAGTTTACCTTAGCTTCCCTTTTTGTTGCAACCATTTCACGAAGGTATAATGGGATGAATTTGCAAAATCCTTTTTCAATATTTCTACTTGCATTGTGCTTTTTATTTTAGTATGTCATCTCCATTTACAAGATTAATATTTTAAAGTAAAGTTGTAAAATATAAAACACAAAACGGAAGGAGGCTAGTTTTAACCGTGAACAGGTGGAGTAAATCATCCAATTTGCAGAAAAGATTCATATACAAATTACATTTCACAAGTTTAGTTAAACTAACAAACAGAGTTAAAAGATGCTCCGTATAAGCAGGGACAATGCTTATGGCTGTTGTACGGTTGTACCTTGCCAAAATTTAAATACCTTGTTTGGAAAGAAACCATTTTATTTCCGGGAGGGAGGTAGGTAATAAGATTTGTTTATCCGTGTGAAACAATCTAAAGAGTTGCTTGTACTTTCGCAGACTATGCTTGGTCTAGTAAGATCAATGTATATTCTCTTCACTGTGGATGAAGATTCGGCATTTCTCCGCTATGGATACCTATCTAAAGAGAGTGCTGGTACAATTAGGAAAGAAGTTGCAAAGCTTTGTAGTGAACTTAGACCACATGCACTTGCCCTGGTCCGTTCCTTTGGCATACCTGACGCCTTCTTGAGCCCCATAGCTTTCAATTGGATAGATGCAAATGCTTGGTCTTCTGTATATGTGTCAAGTTGACTTCCATGGCTCACCTTCAGACCTGTTTTTAAAATCAGAACGAGGGGGGCTTATAGTACTAGCAGGGTCTTCTTAAGGAGGCCTGGTGCTGATTACAAGAGTTTAGTCTTCGGAGTATAACAAAGTAAAAGTAATAAGTAAAGAATGAATGTACTTGAATAAATTGGGAAGGCAAAAGAAATACAGACCTTGCTTGATATTGTTTTCCATTGTTTTAAACTAAAAAATCTGTACATAGAAAAAAACGTTTTCCATTTTGGGTGGTTTTAAAATTAATATGATTAGTATAAGAATACTTTTTTTATACAATTGAAAATATACATTTAAAAACATTGAAAATATATTTTTTTAGTTAAATATGTACAAATTTGAAACCTTATAAATTTGAAAACATTGAAAAACAAAATTGAAAACTGGGTGATTATGTGATATCGATATGTTTTTAGATTTTCTTTTAGTTTTAATATTTAAAATTTAAAGTGGATAACTTGAGTTTCATACAAATATGTATTCCATGTATTATATGCGGGACCGGACTGGGGCTCGATATAGTGTAGGACTGGCCCGAGACTGGTTTTTGGTCACACTCAATGAGCCTTGGCTCGGTCAATGTTACCAGGTCCGAAGGTATAGTTAGTAGAGATGGGGACTCAGTCCGGTTCCAATGATCAAATATTCCTCCTCCGGTCCTCCCCTATTTAGCTGTTGGAAGGCTCGTTTTGAATGTTGTAGGAGCCTCTAAAAATGTTTAGTTGAGGATAGGGGATTGGGGGAGCCTAAAAGAATTCTATAAATATTCACTCATTAAAAAGAATCTTACACCTTCATTCTAGTATATTCTATAATCTCCTTCTCTTTCAGCTACTACGTATTTTTATCCTCTACTCTTCATCTTTACATTTACTAGTACTAGTATTACATATGTATGGTGCACAAAAGATATAAGAATATATAATGAAAAAGTCAAAAGTATGTGCTCCGCTAACAACAAGCAAGTAATCCCACATACAATTTAGGATTAAAAGCTATCTAGGACTTAAATATTATATTAAATTGTGTATTTAATAGTGCAATTTTTCAGTTGATTTATGAATTATGAATTTATATCCCACATACAATTTAGGATTAAAAGCTATCTGACTTAAATAAATAAGAGAATACAAATTAATAATCTAAATAATTTAGATTATTTATATAGTCTAAATAATCTAAGAGAAAATATTCTTAGATTTTTTTTATTTATATAAATAAATAAATAAAAAATAAATTAATAATCTAAAAATAAATAAATAAATAAATAAATAAATAAATAATCTAAATAATGTTTTTCGGAGTACATGGCATTTTTATAGTTGACACGGGGCAACATAGGCCTGGACTCGGGCTGGGTGGCCAGACCCGAAACCGGACCGAACCGGCACTGTTTCGGCCCGGTGGCCCGGTCAGTGACCGGTCCGGGTAGGCCCAACTCGCGGGTGATCCGGTCCGGACTCAGGCCCTTCAAATGGCGAACCGGCCCAACTGGGCCGGGGCCGGTCCGGGCCGGCAACGACTTTTTTTTTAATTAAAAGGGCTATTAGCCGTTGGGAATAATCCCAAATGGCTCTATAGCCGTTGGAGGGCTAGGAGGGGGAGGGGGGGGGGGGTCCGGGGGGTTTTGGGGTGGGTGGGGGGTGGGGATAAAAAAAAACCTATCTATACTCCTATTTTCTATACATTTTTTACACCACCTTCAATTCATCATACAATCCTACTCCTACTCTCTAATTTTCTATTCTTTCATACTCAATCATCTCCATCTTCATCTTCTCCAAATTTCTCTACATATATATTATTTATATAATTATTATTATTATATCAACTTATATATTAATTATCTACTTATATACATATATTATATTACTAATATTTATTATCTACTTAATATATTTATTATCTACTTATACATCTCTATCTTATTAATATTTACTTTGATATCTACTTATTATCTATATTTATTGTTATTTACTTATGTATATTAAAGTATTAGATATAAGTCTATTACTCATCTTATAGTAATATACTTATATATTATATACTATAAACATTATATTATATATTACTTATACAATTATATTAGTTACACTTGAATTCATAGTAATTAAATTCATCGTATTAGTTAATTTTTACATTTCTTATTATCCTAATTTAGTTAATTAATACTTGTCTCGTTTTTTCTATTACTTACATTTTTTTTAATTGTTACATTTTTCATTAAAGTATAAAACTAGTTAATTTGGCATACCTGACGCCTTCTTGAGCCCCATAGCTTTCAATTGGATTGATGCAAATGCTTGGTCTTCTGTATAGCGGCTTATATGTGTCCATGGCTCACCTTCAGACCTGTTTTCCTCAGCCCTCTTTTAAACATCAGAACGAGGGGAGTTTATAATACTAGCAGGGTCTTCTTAAGGAGGCCTGGTGCTGATCACAAGAATTTAGTCTTATACAGAGTATAACAAAGTAGAAGGAATAACTAATAAGTAAAGAATGAATATGCTTAAAAAAAAATTCACATTATGATTGTACTTAAATGAATTGGGTATGGAAAATTTGGCGCAAAGGCAACATCATTGAGAAGGCAAAAGAAAAACAGGCCTCGCTTGATATTGTTTTCCATTTTTTAAACCAAAAAATCTGTTTTTTTTTTTTTGGAAAAATTGATTTTATTGATTAAAGGAAATGGTACAATGTGAGAAAGAAAAAACAAGAAATATAGAAAAGAAAATGAAAAGACAAATACTAAACCCAAGGGAAATCTCTGGACTGTGATCTAGTCCTCATGCAATGACGCCTTTTGTTCTTCTGAGATTTTCTATATATTTTGAGTTGTGTGTTTAGATTGTCTGTTGGCAGGCAATTTTCAGATGTGACGAACTTTGATTTACGGCAAATCGCTCTGTTGAATTTGGACTTCCTAATTTCTTCCTGATTGGATATAGGAGGACGGCGATCGCTTTCGGTTGCATGTCCTAGAAAATCGTCTTTGTAGAAAGAGTCACCGGAATGATAAAAGTTGTCTGATGCATCTGAGTAAGCTTGTGGATGCACAAAGAGATTGTTTCCAAATGACCCAAAGAAACCAAAAAATCGGTAATTAGAAAAAATTGTTTGCAGTTATGGTGGGTTTTAAAATTAATATTATTTGTATAAGAATATATATATTTTTTTTTAATTTTGTTATACAATTTGAAATACGGAGTATAAATTTAAAAACATTGAAACAATATTTTTTGAGGTAAAAGCTTGGATACTGTTGTATACAGTTTAAAACGTAAAAAATTGAAAACATTGAAACAAGAGTGATATCAATGTGTTTTAGATCTTCTTTTAGTTTTAATATTTTAGCCATTGGAGGTAGGGATGGACTCGGGCCGGGCCAACCGGCCCGGAACCGGACCGGCCCGCTACTGTGCGGGCCCGGACCGGCCCGGTAAACCGGTTCGGTTCCGGTTCGGGCCACCCGGCCCGGTGGTATACCGGTCCGGGCCCGGGCCTCCAGTTTAGTGAACCGGCCCGGCCGGGCCGGGCCCGGTTCGGGCCAGAATTTATTTATTTTTTTTTTTTTTGAAATTTTTTTAAGTTTTGGGTTGGATTAGGTATTTTGGGCCATTTGAGGTGGTTTGGGGTGGTTTGGGGTGGAGGGGGAGGGGTAGGGGGTTAAATAAGAGAAGAAGAAGAAAAAAAAAACATTCCGGGTGGCCCGGCCCGGCCCGGTTCTGGCCCGGAACCGGAACCGCCCACCACCGGTTCGGGCTCGGGCCTCCTTTTTCTGAACCGAGGCCCGGCCGGGCCCAGGCCCGAACCGGGCCCGAACCGGAACCGGTCCACCCCTAATTGGAGGGCTTGTTTTGAATGTTGGGGGAGTTTCTAAAACGTCTAGTTGAGGGATGGGGATTTGGGGAGCTTAAAAGAATTTTATTAAGGCTGTGTTTGCGGGAGCTTAAAAAAGCACTTTTACTGCTTTTAGCTTCACAGAATCCGAAAATGGTGTTTGCATTGAGAAGCTTTTGCTTAAATTTAAGTGCTTTTAGACCAAAAGCTAAAAGCAGCTCAATGGGTGCTTCTATCTGCTTCTGGGGTTCTTTGGTAAATAAATACAAACTTTTAGGCTAGTTATTAACTAAACAATTTCCATAAACCCAAAAATACCCATCCCAATCAATTATTTGTGCGTCTAAAATCCCTTATGAGCTTGGCTTGCAGAGATGACCATCCACACCATTGCCCCGCCGGAAACTCGCCATCCGCCACCATTGTAGTCAGTGTCCTGGCCATCTATCACTATCCTCGACATGGCCACCAGCCAAGGCACTCATCTTAGCGCTGCAGCAGTCACCTCGACTCTCTTTCCGTCTTTTGAGTTCGGATCCTTGAGTGTATATGTATATATATAAGTATATATGAGTATATAAAACATACCATGGCATCCTATAAGAGCATCCACAATGCCAATGAGTATTGATCCACTCCTCTCTCTTCCACATCATTTCCCACAAAAAACTTAATCCCTTCTAACCTATCATACTTTCACCCCACTATGGTGACCTAGGTCACTCAAAATTTGTACATTCTCTCTCCATATTTTTGGCATATTCCACCATTATTAATTTATATAATTTTATAAAGAAATATAAAATTCACATTTGACCTAGTATAATTTATTGTTGACATTGTATCTAGTTAGAGAACGAGTTGGATCCATTTTCAGAGAAAAAAATTTCTAAAACAGATAAAATAAAATGCAAGAGGGAAAGAAATGGTAAATTTCAAAGTGACTGAACATATCTTTCATTGGTCTCTATTTATAGAGAAAAAAATATCTAATTTTTTGGTGTAATCTTTTTTTACAATAAATTAAATATAATCAATAATAAATGGAATTAGAGAGTGTGGGGATGTGTTATACTTTGGGTATAGGGTGGAGCTAGGGGTACACACTTTTTGTACACACAATTTGTACACTTGTCTGTCACCCACAGACAAGTTGTCTGTCGCGAGATGAGTTGTCTGTCCACAGACAACTCATCTCGCGACAGACAACTTGTCTGTGGGTGACAGACAAGTGTACAAATTGTGTGTACAAAAAGTGTGTACCCCAATCTTTTTTCTAGAGAAGCATCGTATGAAGAAAGAACGAATAAGAGGCAAAAATCGGTATTCTTATTCTTCGTTTAATGACTAAGGTATTGCTACCTTTTATAAAGAGAAAGGTACCGAGCCCTAAAGTAGG